AGCGCCGGCTGCGGACGCGCCAGCGCCTGCAGGCGGTGCCGCACGCCGGCCGGCAGCTGGCGCAGCGCGCCGACCAGCGGCAGCGCGCCAGCCAGCGCCGTGCGCTCGGCGCGGCTGACGTTCAGCCGGCGCAGCCAGGCCAGCTGACGGCCGGGCGCCGCCGGGAACGGGAAGCCGTCGGCCAGCGCCTCCAGCCGGGCGAAGTCGAGGGCGGCGGCGCCGCTGCCGACGCCGCGGCCCGGCGAGGCGCCGACGCCGCCGACGCTGCGCGCCATGGTCTCGAGCAGGCCACTGAAGTATGCTGTCTGGTGGACGCGCATCACCAGGTCGTCGAGCACGCGACGCACCTGCTCGTCCACGTATCGGTCGTAGGTGGAGCGCAGGCGCGGACGGTCCTGCACGAAGTTGTACGCGCTGTAGACGAACAGCGCGGCCAGGTTGAGCACGCCCAGCAGCAGCACGAGCGTCTCGTCGTCGACGCCGGCGGGCGGCGAACGCGCCTGTGGCTCCCACGTGGTGACGGCGGCCATATCGGGACGTCACCAGAGGCTCATGGTGCGCGCGGCGCCGGCTCGGGCGGTGCACTGGCGGTGCCGGCCGGCCGCGCGCGCCCCGCGCTGGCCGCTAACGGAGCCGGCGAGACGCCGCGGGGGACGCCGCGCCGGGCCGCCGGCTGGCGCGGGGGCGGGGAGAGGTGGGACTGACGCCGAGGCCTGGCACGAGAGCCATCGGACATGCGGCCATGGGCTGGGGCTTCCGGGCGGCAGTCGCGTTGACTTGGGTCTCCTGGGCCCTCACTGAGTAGCCGTGAACTCGACAGACATGAGCAACGGCTTCTGGCAGTGAACACGGTAGCAGTAAAAGGACAGCGCCAACCAATACCGAAACGCGGGTGAAAAACAACGCTTCAGACTCCGGATCAGGACCAGGTCAGGAGGATATCCGGCATGCCGCCTTGCACTGGTGCCAGAGAGGTTTTTCCCGTGAATGAGAGAGTAGGATGGAGGACCGGTGGTCCACAGGTAGGGGGTTCAAATTCCAAATAGCCTGTTGGTCCGACCACGCGTGCAGTGTTTAACTGGCAACTGGCCAGAGCGTGTCCGTCTGGCACAGCATGATGCGGAGGAGATCCCGTGTCAGTCTGGCAGGTCTCCCGTGGCGTGGCACTGTATGACGCGGAGGAGATCCCGTGTCATTCTGGCGCAGACCGCCCGTGACGTAACACTGTATGACGCGGGGGAGGTCCCGTGTTAGTCTGGCACAGACCGCCCGTGGCGTGGCGCTGTATGACGCGGCGGAGGTCCCGTGTCAGTCTGGCATAGACCGCCCGTGGCGTGGCGCTGTATGACGCGGCGGAGGTCCCGTGTCAGTCTGGCATAGACCGCCCGTGGCGTGGCGCTGTATGACGCGGGGGAGGTCCCGTGTCAGTCTGGCACAGACTGCCCGTGGCGTGGCGCTGTACGACGCGGGGGAGGTCCCGTGTCAGTCTGGCACAGACTGCCCGTGGCATGGCGCAGTATGGCGCGGAGGAGATCCTGTGTCAGTCTGGCACAGATCGCCCGTGGCATGGCTGTGTATGACGCGGAGGAGATGCTCCCGGTCACGTCTGGTCATGTGGTTCCACCGCGGGCCGTAGCTGGAACGAAATTATCCCGTGCACTGAACTGGTGCAAGTGTTGAGGGTATGAACCACAAGCTCTCTTGGCACGCAGCCTCCTGTAAGTCAATGTTGCCCATGCAAAGCAGTCTGAACACACTTAAGATCTCCAGCCATTAGCCAAGCCTGCCCGCGTCGCAAAGTCGATACCTCCGGCGTGAATGCTTCTGCTGCGCCTCCGAGGAGCGACGCCGCGCCCTGTCACGTGACAGGACTGCTGTGCTTCCGCCACGGGAGGCAGCACCGTTTGCTGCGTCGGCGGCGTTGCTCGGCGCCGTTCCCAGCCGCTCGAGATCAGTTTGATGGGCCGCAGCGACTGTGAGCTGCGGCGGGCGGGGGCACCGCGGCGCCTGTTGTCTTTGGGCGCCGGGCGGCACGGCGACGGTCGTCGGCGTCGTGCCGCGCGGTGCCGACTCTGTTGTCCACATGCACCGGCGAGACGGCGGTGGCGTCAGCGCGCGCGCGCAGCCAGGACAAATGGGCTCAGCCGACCGGTAATGGTGCGACAAACCGATTGACAGGTACGATGTCGTTTGTCAAGGCAATGGAGTGGAGGGCGGCGGGATTCGCGCAGACCGGGAGCGCTCCTGGCGGGAAGAGCGCTCCGGTGCAGACAAAGGAGCCCCGCTTTCGATGTGACGCTCGATTCCCTGCAGTTCCGGTGACGTCCGCGGGGAATCTTCAAACACTTCAAATTGAAGGCTGGGTCGGGTGTTTTGCGTGATAACTGAGTTTTGCTTGCTTATTTACACACTTCATCTCAGGTCGGTCATGGGCGTGAGAACAGACGTCCGGGGTCCCCTGGCCCTCTACTTTTGAGCACGTCTAGCATTACCCATGACGCTGCATGGGAAAACATCGCTTCCGAAATTGACACTGCCCGCTCCCGTCCCCTCCTCCGGAGACGCTTATGTGCCCACTATTTCAGTTGTTCGCGCAAAGTTGATTCTTACGAGCCTGAAGCTGATTTCATTGTCAATGGTGCTGGATTCCGCCCAAGGTTGTTGCCTATGCAGCGCGGAACGACAGCCTGAAACGTCATCAGCGTTTTGCCCAGCTTTCGGAAGCTTCTTCTAACGATTGATCTGGGTGTCAGCCGTGCAGTTGCCGGCGTGCCGTCGGCGGGGTAGTCACGCGCGGGGCACAGCCATTTTTTAACTGAAGTGTGCTCGTCTCGTGGAGCTGTGTGATGATAGCGGCCGAGCTGCCTCGGAACAGCAGGTTGCGCGTGCACGAGCGCCAGGGTCCAGCGGCCGTCCGGCTTTCTGCCAGCCTCCCTGACCTGAACCGGAGCATGGGCGCGTGCCGGGCGCCTAACTGTTGTGTTTGTATAACAGCAGGGCCGCCTGTGTTTCCTCCCCTGACCGGCCAGGCATTAGTATCAATATATTGGCGCGCCGCGGCCGCCATTACGGGCTATTGTGCTTTGTAAATGGGAGCGACCGATCGCGCCTCGCCGCCGCTGCCCGCTTTGTTCCCAGCGGTTACGCGCAGCACAATGGCCGACGTCAGTATTCTAATACATCATGTAAGCCGTCCGGCAGGTGTTAGCTCCGTAATTGATTGCGCAGTGTCCGTGTCCTTTTTTTGCGGGCGCGCGGCCGGCCGCCAGCACCGCTGCTGAGCGGCCCCCGGCGCTGCGCTGCCGGGCCTGGCCTGGCCGGGCCGGCGCCGGCCGGGGGTACGCATTGGTGTCAGCCCGGCGCTTTGTCGCCGTCTGGTGATTTAGGGCCGCCGCGGCGCCGGTGTGAAGCGATGCCTGTCGGCGATTGATGACGGCCTGGCCGCCGCTGTACGTGACTGCCGGCCCGCGCTGCCGCCGCCGTCGCCGCCGGGGCGCTTGCCACCCTCGGTCGGCACGCGCCGCCTCGCCCCTGCCGCGCCTGGGGTTAGGTCAGGAGACAGGAGGCGCAGGACAGTGACAGGTACTCAACAGCCCACACTGGCCGCACGTCACATCACAGCTGAAGTCCGTGTTCGTATGCATGTCCGTGACTAGCCTCGCCGGTGGGGTGACGTCGCCCTTCCGCCGCACGCGCCGGGCGGCCGGCCCTGCGTCACGGTATTCTCTGCACCAGACCTAGCCAACAGTGTCAGTCGTATGCGTTTGGAGGACACCGGTCGGCCGCTCTAACGACGCCGAAGAGACACGGCGCCTCCGGCGATTGTGTGGACGGCACTGATCCGCGTCTGCCGCGTCACCCCCGCGGATTCGCTCAGCTGAACGCCACGAGAGGCCGCTCCGACCGGCAAGCTCTGCCGCCTGTTTTGCCTGCCTTCACGCTGGCCGTGTGCGGCGCCGTCGGCGTCGGCGGCGTACCGGATGTTGTTTTGGGCGATGTTGCACGCGCGGCGGCGAGCGCTGACCCGCCGGGCCGGATGTGGGTCAGTGGTCCGCTGCCGGGGCGGCGGCAACTGGGCCAGGCGCCGGCGGCGGATATTGGTCAGTGAAGCTGGCACCAGCGACCATCTGTCGCGCGGGCGTGCGCGCGCGCGCGCGCCGGCGCGGGCGCGGCTCGGCATAGCTCACCGGGTCTGACGGCAGATGCGGCGGGGCGCGGCCGGCCGACCCGCTCACTCACTCACGCGACGGCCGACAGATGGCAGCTGAATAACTGTCCGGCCGCGATCGGGCGACTCGGCCGCTAATTACGGCCAGGCGGCCGGTATTTTTCTGTTGTCAGATGGGAGCCGCGCCGCGCGGCCGGCAGAGCGACCCTAACGGCGCGGCGCCGCGGCCCGTCCGGCTAATCGCGTCGTTAGCGCGACATGTACGAATGTTCGGTCGGCGGGGCAGGCGGCCCCCGTCACCCGCGTCGCTCCGGGGCGGGGCGGTACCGGGCCCGACGCAGCGCGGGGACGGTGCTGGCCGAACGCCGCTTGCCCCGGCCTGTGGCCTCGTTACGGACCGGAGACGTAGTTTAATGACCGCATTTAGACCGCGCGATGGAAGTTTGCACGGTGGGCCGTGCAGAAGTGTGGGTAACCGTGATGATATGACAATGCAGTAGCCCAAATGTTTGCCGCGTCGTCCATTGGCGGCTTCGGCTTGGCTCCAATCAAACGGCGGCTGACGGAGTGCGGTCGGACCATTCTGAGCGTCTGATTAATCATGCGAGCACACCGGCTGTGTGTGTCCAGACACGGGGGACTGTCATGCCGACGTCCGAGACCATTAACGCTCCGATCACGGCGTCAGTCGGCCACCCTGTGCCTGCCGACGGCGGCCGTGCTGCCCTGCCGGTCGGCGCGGTCCTCATGCGCCGCCACCGACCGCCCTGTGCTCGGCGGTCCTGCGTGCGTCCCCTCTGACTGCCGTGTGACCCGTGCGCCTCCGTTTCAGGCCGGCGACGTGGGTCGGGCCGAGCGCCAAGGCGGCCGTGCTCTGGATGGAGCGCCAGTGCTATCGGTTCCGCTTCCACTCGGACACGCTCTGCCTGTCGGTGGCGCTGCTCGATGCGTTCCTCGGCCAGGTCAAGGCCAAAGCCAAGTACATCACCTGCATGGCGTTGACCTGCCTCTACTTGGCCGCCAAGATCTGCGAGGAAGACGAGGTAGGTCGCATCATGTCACTCGGATTGGATGTATTGGATCGCTCCATCACATAGCAGAGTAGCATAGCAAACGATATTCTGGTCAGTGCTCAGTCGCGCCCGGGACAAGCACGATTCGAGCGGCCTCGTGAGGAGGGGTGTCTCGAACAGCTCTGTCGTGTGTCGCTCCGCGGGGATTCAGGCTCGCTGTCTCCATCTCCATGACAGCCGTGTGAAAAGCGCCGGGCGGGCGGACACGACTCACCGGCGGCGAACAGCGCCGGCGAGCCTCCGGACTGAGGATCTGTCGCCGCGCTTCCCGCACCCCTGTCGCTGGGAGAGCGCCACCCGGAAGAGTTTTTGTCGCGGCGTCAGTCGGTCGGGCCGGACGACTGCCGTGACGGCCCGTCCCGGCCGCCGCTCCTGGCGGCGCCGACCGCTCCCCGTGCCGCGCGTCGTCGGCCGTCGGGAGCGCCCCGGGGGCAGGTTGGGTCGTCGACGCACGCCGACCTCTTTTGTCGTGGCGGGCGGCCGACGTCGTCGCGATTAGTGGGCGCTGGGGCGCGCCGCTGCAATTGGGCCGGACTCGCGGCGCGGTCGTTTGTCAAGCGGAGAATTATACGCAACGCTGACGGCGCCCGGGCCGCGCGCCTGCGCCGGCAACGGTCGCACGGGCTCTGGCACGTCCGGACGGGACTGGGCAGGCCTGGTGACGCAGCGGTCCCCGGCGTGTGCTGGGGCTGGGCCGGAGCCGAGGTTGTCGGGCTCTCAGCTCCTGGCTCCTATCTGATCCAGTCGTCGTGGGTGGGGCTGTTATGCGGCCGGGCGAGAGCCTATTCGGTCCACGCCGGCCTAGCCGTCGTGACCCGGGTGCGCTCCGGAGGTCGGCCGCCGCCGCCGCCGGCCCGCGCGTGACTGGCATCACCGGCCGCCGCCCCGGGCCGGCCGACGGCATCATCAGCCGCTCGCACGCGGCGTCGTAAACGTCCCCGGCGCGTTTATGGGGAACCACAGACGAGACAGGCCGACCACCCGGCCGGTGACGCGGCGGGCCCGCCCCGCCCCGGCTGGCCGTTGAGGGCGGCAGCGAGCCGGCCCTGCGGCCCGCGCCGGCCGCATGTCAGGCGGCCGTTCCCCGATGTCCGGCGCTGTGGCCCCGCGAGGCGCGATTAATCGGGTAATTTCTGGTGAATTATGGGCTCGATGGGCGGTGTAGACATGTCCCAGATAAAACGGCCGACACCTCCCGGTCCCGCGTGCCGCCGCGTTCGTCATAACTGTTCGTTCGCTCGTCAGTGGGACAGCATGGCTGACGGCCGAGGAAACACGCCGGCGCCGGCGCATTTCCGAGGCATTTTAATGCGCGGGATCCCGCGCCGTTTTGACATCTGCCAGAGGTGGCCATCTGGCGCGGTTTGCCGCACAATCGGTCGGCGTGGCGCGCGGCGCCGATTTGACTCAGTAAACGGTGCGGCCGTAACCCGCCGCCGGTCCGTCAGCGCGCCGCGGCCCCGTTCCGGCGCCGTCTCCGGCGGCGTCTCCGGCGGCTAACTGGGCCGACGGCGGTTGCAGGCCGCCCAGATGACAGCGGCGCGGTTAATCCCATTACGCGGGCGCTGTCGGCGGCTGATGGAGCACGGTCAGCTGGTCGGCGGCCGCCGCCTCTACTGGGAACGAGGCGGCCGCCGGCTCGCGCGGCAGACGGCACGGCGCCGGGGGGCGGTCGCCGGCGGCAGTCGGGAGCGTCCGCGGGCACGGCTGGTTCACCCGTGGAGGCGCAGTCCCTCGGCGATCTGCTATGTGTGGTGTGCGGAGGGGGCGCCGCCTGCCACCGCGGCCGGGATGGCCGGTGGCGAGTGGCTCGCTGACGACGCTCTTTGGCATCACCATTGTGCTAGCCCTCCCCCAGCCAAGACGTGCCGACACCTTCCTGTGAGCCGATTTGTCAGTGTCGTCGTGTTTCCCACTGCCCATGCATCGTGACAACATTGCCGCTGTTGAGTCATGCCAACGCCGCTTATCACGGTGTCCACAGGGAGCTCGAACCGAGCCGAGACGAGATACTGACGAGCCACCGCTACCCGCTGACCCGGGACAGCACGCTGTGGCGTTCCTCTGACACGGCGCCTTGTTGCAGCTGGTGCCGGCCATCAGTTACGTGGTGGAGCGGGCTCGGCCTGGCTGCTCGGTGGCCGACGTGCTGCGCATGGAGCGGGTAGTACTGGACAAGTTCGGCTGGCAGGTGCGGCTGGTCACGCCGCTCAACTTTCTGCACAGCCTGCACTGCCTGCTGGTGGCCGCCTGCCCGGGTCTGCTGGCCGACCGTCAGCACCGGGTGAGACCCGCAGCCGCTGCAGGCCGCTCCCGCCGCGGCGGCCGGCTCCGCACGATGTTCTTCGGTCCTGGTCTTCCTCTGACAGCGATAAGAGTCCCTGATGGCTGCGCAGAGTGGGGCATACCCAGCGTATACTTCAAGGCTATTCACTGGGAAGTTGACTTGCTGACCTGCCCGGCCCATTTGTCAAACCGGAGGCGCTTAGATACTGGGTTGACTGCCGCTTATTTCGATGCTGATTGGCTGATTTTTATCTAGAGGAGCAACAGGCAGTGAGCCCCAAGCCTGGGATGTCTTAACATAAACAAATACCCACAGTCCCCGCCACCCAAGTGGCCGAATATTGAAACGCTGTCGTGGCCTGGTATAACTTTAACACCGTCGGTGGAAAGTACTGCGGTGTTCCTAAATTACCATATGACGAGTGCTGTGCAACGCCGCTTCTTGCCCTCCACACACGAGGCACGACGTTTCGATAATTTGTTTTTGGTTATATCAACGGTTTGATTACTGCGTACCCCGCTTAGTCGGTGTTTCCTAAAAGGCCCAGCTGACTCCCTCATCTCTCGATGCCAGTCTCTACCCATGTTCCACGCCCCGACTCGCGCGTTAATATTCGGCCGTCCGCTTACCATACGGAACAGGCAACAGGCACCCCTGTATGGGTCGCCCTGAGGAGAGCTCTCCCGAGATGAGCTCCGCGGCCGGTCCGGACCAGCACCAGCCCCCGCCACGTGTCGGTTTGATGACCTCACACCCCCTGTCGGATGACCACGCCCGGGTGGACGGCGGCGGCGGCGGCGCCGAGGCAGAGATGGCGGCTCGGCCGGGTGGATAACGGGCTGGGGCGGCGGCTGGCGGCGACAGTAGCCTCGGCAGCCGGTTGCAGGCGCGGCCAACGATTGGGAATCTGCTGCGTCGGCACGGCTGCGGCGGCTGGTGTCGGATTCGCCGGTCTGCTCGCTGGGCCGGTTCTTTTGGCGCTGTGTCGCTGCTGTTGGCCCATTGTTGGCGGACAGACGGGCGGTGGAGGCTCGTGAAAGCCGGTCCTGTTTGCTCACCGTCAGCTGCTGGCACTGACGGCTGTTGCATGGAGCCCGCCGACGATGGCTGACGGCTGCGCGTCTGTCCGGCAGTTGTCGGCCCACCGTCAGCTCTGCGGTCTGACCGAGCGCCTGGTGGAGCTGGTGACGGACGTGCGCACGCTGGGCGTGCCCCCCTCGTGCCTGGCGGCGGCGCTCATCTGCTGCGAACTGCGCCGCTGCAACGTCGACACGGCGCCCTTCGCCCAGGCCGCCCACCGGCTCATCAAGGTGAGCGCCGACGGCGACCGGCGCAGTGGGCCTCGTCAGGTCAGGCCTGACGAACGCACGAGAGGTGGGGCGTGCTGGTGCCACCGGTGCTGGTGCTGCTATCGGTCGGTGCTGGCGTGGTTTATCCTCCATTCCACTTCCGAACGACGCCTCGGGCGGCCCATTACCGTGCATGCTGTGCTGCCTCGCGTTCCGGATGCCACTGTGGCTTCATTTTCAATTGTCATTACATTCTTCGATTTAACATAGTCAAGCTTTTTCGTAATCAATAGCGTGGTAATGTGTAATGTTTGCTGCTGCTCCCACCAGCGGCGCCCCTGACCTGGCGCGTGCCTCTACCGCAGCGGAGCCCGGAGGAGGTGTCGGCGGCGGCCGAGCAGGTGCGCGCCGTGCTGGGCGACGCTGGCGACTCGGTGCTGGTGCCGCGGCCGGCCGTCGCCGCGGCCAAGCGGCCTCGTCAGCGCGGCGACTCGCGCAGCTTCTCTCGGCCGGCCAAGCGCAAGCTGGTAACTGCCGAGCTCGACGACGACATCGTGGGTGATATCCGCAACCTGTACAAGGGCGCGGAGGAGGAGGCGCCGCGCCGGCCGGCCGCTGCTCCCGCCGGCTTCCAGCCGCCCTACAGTCCAGAGTTCCCGGAGCTCGGCAAGCAGGGTGAGCAGTGGGGTAGGGACGTGTGCTGGGAGGCGCTGTCGGGGCCGGCGACGGAGGGCCTGTTTGTCGCCTGTCTACCGGTGGAGACATGTTTAAGTGTTGCAGTTTTGTGATAGATCACGTTCACAGAAGGATAGAGCAGCACCTGCTCGGCCGCTGCCGACACCTCCGGTGATCTGCTTGTCATCGTTAGTGCGCACGATTGACGCACCGACTTAGAGCGCGAACGTGGCTCGAATGGTGCATCCGCCCTCCTTTTGGGGACGAATTAGAAATTTCACTTGAGGCTGTCGAGAGCGTGCCCGGGTTTATCCCCACAAGCGGTGACTAGTGTTCACACTGCGCCGCTTCTTACAGGACATGTGGCTGAAAGCCCTATGTCCCAGACCTGCGGCCTCATCAGCCAAGTCGCGCGGCTCAGCTATGCAGAGGTGCTGCGCCGCCACCTTCCCATCCCGTCCGTCATGGCCGGCGGCATCTAGCGACATCTCCTGAGCGCAAAATGAAACTGGAAGCTGTTCACCGGTCCGCCAGGCGTCAGCGTTGTGGATGGAGACGGTGTCGCAGAGGCGCTGACTCAAGCCGTGAACAGAGCGTAGCTCTGACTGGAAGTGTTGAAGACATTGTCAAGAGAATCTGGTGCCGAGGTGCTGCTAGCTGGAAATGTGAAGTGTATCCCCGTAAATCGTTAACCCAGAGCAAAAGAAATAGTGCAACACATTATGTTGATGGATCGCGATAGTAGTCACTGCTAGATTTTAATTACTTGTTTTATTTGACACGTAAATGTTTTATCTTAACCCCACTGCGTTGTTTTCAGCAGTGGGGTCCGTAGACGTACATCATCTATTTAGTTGCTAGATCAGAGTCTAGATTGATAGGAATCTCGCCGTGCGTGTTTTGTCGCCGCGCGCCCGCGGGGCGCGCGGCGCGGCTCGGCTCCGCGCAGGGTGCTTGTCGGCGGCGCATCGCGCTTGCTCGCATTACTCAGCCAGTGTTCAGAAGTGGCATTTGGAGCCGACCGGCAGGTCACGGGTCACGGGCCGCGTGTCAGCCCGCCCCGCCGCTGGGCGCCGCCCGCTCCCGTGCGCGCGCGCGCGGGCGCCCGGCGGCGGCCCATGCGACTTGTAACAAGTCACGACTGTCTTTCCTCGTCACCCTCACGACGGGCGCCGTCGGCGCCATCATTACCTCGTTAGTACAACGCCGGCCGCCGCCGCCGCGGCCAGTGGCGACGGCGGCGGGCCCAGCGCCGCGCCGCCCGGTAGCCGTTGCTCTGGCGCCGGCCGCCAGGCCGCCCCGAACGTAGATTAGACCCCGAGCTATGCATACGGCGGCGACATACCCCGGGAGAGGGCATGCACCCCGCCGATGGTGGGGAAAGCGTGGGAGCAAGCACGTGCGAGAGAGCGTGTGGGATCACGCGCGCGAGGGAACGTGTCGGTGTAGTCAGCTACGCACATGAGCCAGTATATGCATGCATGCCGCTAACGCTGGATAATACATAGAATGATTGCGTCTTGCGGTTTTCGAGCTGCGCGAACGAACGTCCGCTGTAATCCCCGACATCTGCGACATCTAGACCTGGAATTAGCAGCAGTGGGAGCTGGAGCCGGCGCGGCGAGCAGGCGCCGCGCGGGCTGGGCGTTTCAGGCGTGCATACGTCCACAACCCAAACAGCCATCGACCCCGTGTCGCCAGCAGGGGCTCCTCAGAGAGCGGCGCGTGTCCGACCCTCGGGGTTAAACAGGCGCAGCCTACATCTAGGGGACTTCGCCGCTCCCGTCCCTCGTCTGCGAACGGCAACTGCGCCGGCCAATCCGCGTCATCACATCACCAGCCCGCTGTGTGCGGGTCACCAATCGCCGTCCCCAGCAGCCGTAAGCGGGCATGCTCTGCCAAAGTGGCGAACGGACTCAGGCACACGGCGCTGTTGGTCTTCCCAGCATCCAGCCGCACCACGACTCGTTCGAGGGAAACACGCTTGTCCCGGTGCCAAACACTAAATCGACCGACTCGTGCCCCGTGATGACACACCTCTGGCCATCGGGCAGAGCAAATGTTTCCCTGACGCCTGAGTGCATCTGTCTTCTTTTTTACCCTGAAATGTGACTGTCCTGAGCGAAGCATTGCCGAGCGAGCCGACAGGAAGCCATTTAGTGCGGGCTAATGTCTCCATGCCCCCGTTCGGGCTGTTTAATAATCCCATAAATCAGCCACATGGCCTACCCATACGCCTCGTCAGACACTGGAGACGGTGCCCTGGCAGCCGAGCGCCCATCCCGAGCTCCCCCCCCCCCTTCCCCCACGCGCTCCCCTGGTAACAGTCGACGTCTGCGGTGGCCAGCTCCCCCCCCCCCCCCTCTAACGCCTGTGTATACCTAGGTTAGGTTGCTGGGCTCCGCACCAATGCTACACCTATGCCGTTCAGCACGTTGGGCTCTGATGGCCCATCAGAGCTCTCTTCCACGAGACTCCTATTGGCAGCGCACACGATGTTTTTTTGCCTGGACAGGCATGCCGTCTAGACGCTCCCGCTGCAGGCCGCATAGGGAGTCAGTCACCACCTGCATGCATCGGCATGTGAGCCCGGTATTACCATGCATTTTTTCTTAGTACGATTGTCCGTGTCGCATTACATTCCTCGGATCTTGGGGCACGTCACTGACGTGAGGACAGCCTTTGAAGTCACACTATCGGCAGAACACGCTGGCACAGAAACACGAGTCCTTAGACGGAAATTTATTCATATAAATTGCATCTCATTATTGTGGTGTTCAGTACCTTAAGTAAAAAGCAATTAACTAAGTCGTACGTTGAAGGCGGGCTCACCACGGGCGGCGGTCTTAAAAAAGACGCGAAAACCATTTGAGCAACCATCCAGCTCCGCCGCAGAGTCGCGGTGCGAAGTCCGCCAACAACGAAAACAGCCGTGCGCCCCGGGCTGGGGGCGGTGCGGGACGCGCCGGGCCGCCGCCGCCGTGCCGCGCCGCGCCGGCGGCGGCGGCGGCCGCAGCCGCGCTCCTGGTACTGGCAAGGTGGAGTGGTCACGTCCCGGCTCAGGTGCGAGCGGCGACCACCGCCGAATGCCGCTGAATGCCGTCTCTGCGCCGCAGTCGCGGCCCGAGACCCGTATGAACGCATCACAATCACAGACTGGTGGCGGCGCCGGCGCCGGCTCACTTGTGGTCCGGGTCGAAGTCGAGCACGAGCAGCTTGGTCTCCTCCGTGCCGTTGCGGCTGCCGACGGCACAGACGAGCTTGGTGCGCGTGGCGCGGATGCGCCACACCACACCGCCGCTGCCGCCCGAGTCGAGGGACACCAGGTTGCGCACGAACTCGCCCGTCTTCACGTCCCAGAGCTTGACGGTGCCGTCGTCCGACGAGGTCATGACGAAGTTGTTCTGGAACTGGAGGCAGGTGACCGCGCTCTGGTGTTTGTTGGCGCCGGACAGCGTCTGCAGACACTGGCCAGACAGGATGTCCCACACCTTGACGGTCGAGTCGGCGTTGCCCGACACGAGGATGTTGTTCTTCAGCTCCATGCCGGAGGTCAGGCTCTGGTGGCCCATCAGCGTGTGCTTGCACTGGCCCGTCTCCACGTCCCACACGCGAATGCTGGTGTCGAGCGAGCCGCTCACGACGTGCACTCCGTCAAACTGCCGGCGGAGGCGGCCCGGTCAGCGGCGGCTCGGCCGACGTCCCCCGGCGCGCGCCACGACGGCGACCGACAGCAGCGCGCGACATGGCAGGTCGGAACAACGCCGGCTCGAAATGACACTGGCTTGCGAATCGTGTAGGCGCTTGGTAAGAGCGTTCCCTTCACTTACTGTGGCGACAGAATTTGGCTGCGTCGAGCGACCTCCACGCGGACCGATCTGAACGATCGGGCCTGCTGGAGTTACCTGTCCCTGACGAGTTCACTCCTAGAGTGGCCGATTTGTAGCACTCCAAGAGTGACATGGACCTATCGAGGTCAGACCTGCAACACTAACCCGTGATGAGCGTGCCAAACCCCAGTGTCAATGCAAAAACACCCAGCCCGATGACATGCAAAGAAGGTATGGGTGGAAGGTCAGCGATTCGCCTTAGAGAAGAGCGCCAATTGGCCAGCTGTGCGCATCAACGATAATGTGGGCCAATCGGAGAGCGCGACACTCGCGTCTCACCACCGAGGCCTTTTCAGAAAAGCGTGTCTTCAGTGGGTCACCCACTGACATAAAAGTCACAGCCCGAGCAGATCACAATGAAACCAAGCCCATCATAGAACGTACTGGTGCACAGAATTTTGAGAAAACAAGAAACATGTCACAACCGAGAGCAGGTAACAAGAAACACGTCACAACCGAGAGCAGGAAACAAGATGCAATGTGCGCGCACGCTGTGACCCCGATCACCCAGACACCACGCGTGCCCGACCAGCCACCACCACACGGACCCGGACGCCGTGGAAGGAGATCCCCGCCGCTGTCGCCGGCCACAGACCTGTAGAGAGTAGACGCGATTGTTGTGCCCCTGCAGGGTGTGCAGACACTCCTCGCGGTCCGGGTTCCACACTTTGACCATGTAGTCGTAGGCGCCCGACACCACAAGCTTGCCGTTGTACTGCACGCAACGCACGGCCGCCACGTGGCCGACGAGCACGTGCTCGCACTCGCCCGTCTCGATGTCCCACACACGGAGGGTGGCGTCTCGCGAGCCGCTCACCACCCTGGGCGCGCGCGACCGGCGTCAGTCACACACGAAGGCCGGCGTCAGTCACACACTGCGGCAGACAGCACAGCGCAAGACGCATGACACTTGATGGGGGGGGGGGGGGGGGGGAGGGCGGGGGAGGGGCTGAACGACACGGACGCTATACAGGCTCTTGACGGCCTCGGCTGCTGATAAGGCAGACGAATATTCAAGAACGGCCGGCATGGCTTCAGTGGTCAAAGAGGCAGGGCAGTGCAGAACCCACCGTCTGTCGCGAATTGCGTGCGGGGTGAAAAGTTGGACGATGTTCAACACACACGCACGCACGCCGCACGCACGCACGCACAGCACGCACGCACGCACGCACACGCACGCACGCACGCACGCCCACGCACGCACGCACGCACGACACACCCACACACACACACACACACACACACACACAACACACACACACCACACACACACACACACACACACACAACACACACACACACACACACACACACACACACACACACAGCCTTCATGAACAAAATAGTTCATGTCCGGGAACTTCGTAGGTGTACCAATCAGTCTACCACAATCAGATGATGGTCTTTGGTCGTGCCGCTATCGTGGTCGGCTGCCGCTTAGTTAGACAATCAGAGCCAATCACAACGATCAGATCACCAGGCAGCGACCCGACCACCAACTACAAGAGCAGACCCCAGCTTCTCATCCCATGAATCTGCGCCTGACCTCCATTCCAATCAGGCTACACAATCGGATGATGGTCTTTGGTCGTGCCGGCTATTGGTGTCAGCTGCTGCTAGTTACACGATCAGAGCCAATCACAACGATCAGATCACCAGGCAGCGATCCGACACCAACTACAAGAGCAGACCCCAGCTTCTCACCCCATGTACCCCGCGCCTGACCTCCATCTTCCAACGCTCGACCCAACTGACCGATCAGGCCGGGCGCGGTGACAACCCCACCCGGAGCACCCCCCTCCCCTCCCCCCCCCCCGTCCGCGCACTCACTTCTTGCCGTGCAGGGTGCATGCAGCGCACCGTCGACGTATGACCGTAGAGGGTGTGCAGGCACTGGCCCGAGTCGGCGTTCCACACCTTGAGCGTGCGGTCTGTGGAGCCAGAGACGACGGTGGCGCCGTCCATCTGGCTCGACCACACGCCGCCCGTGTGGCCCACCAGCGTGCGCAGGCAGCGGCCCGACGCCGACGACCAAACCTTCAGCGTGTTGTCGTCTGAGCCGCTCACGATCCGGTGCTCGCTGAACTGCAGACACGTGATCACGTGGTCGTCGTGGCCGTTCAGCACCTGCGCGCAGACGGACAGCGGTCAGGCAGCGGACTCGACGACGCAGGCGACGCAGTGGTGGCTCGCTGACATGCCGGTATCCAGCGACAATGCTGCAGGCTGGGCGTCCACATTATGCTCGATGTTGATCAGTGCGAGTGCGCAAATATTCAGATCAGTCGATATGTTATGAAGTCGATTAAAATGGACAAATATGATAGCAAAAACAAATAACACGCCTTGGACCGAAATTTGGATGCTGCCCCAATATTCTTATCACAACGTCACACCCAACCACAGCTCTCCCGAAGCCAAGCCGTGATCGACGACAGACCTGAGAATAAAACATTGTGCTCGCTGACAGCAAACGTAACACCAACAAAGTCACGGCTGCGAGACTCGCCTTCGGTTCGGGCAGCTCGCGGCTGCGCCAGTTGGCCTCGATCTTCATGCGGCGGATATAGGCCTGCTTCCAGACGCTGGAGTCGGGCTCGGCTGGCGCCGCATGTCGCCGTCGCACCTGGATCAGCTCCTGCAGGTCGTCCACCTGCAGCTCGCGGCACTTCTCGCGCCAGAGCAGGTTGTCCTCGGCCAGCAGGCGCCAGCTGCGGCAGGTCTGCGCCGGCGCAGCAGGTCGCCCGCCGGCAGGAACGACAGCACGTGCAGCGCCAGCTCGCGCGGCAGCAGCGAGATGAAGTCGCGCTGGAAGCGCGGCTTGATGACCTGCATCATGTGGCGCACCTGCGCCGAGTCGCTCACGTCCAGCAGCTGGTCGAGCGCCACCAGACGCTGCTCGCCGCTCCACGCCTGCCGGCAAGGCTGGCTCAGTGTCCGTTGTGTCGTGTCGGCCACTCAGAGGGTGTGCGGGGTGTCTCGTGGTGTGCAAGGCCCGCAGACCTTGCTCAGTGTCCGTTGTGTCGTGTCGGCCACTC